GAGAGAGAGAGAGAGGGGGGGTGTGAGGGAGGGAGGGAATTTTAATTATCTTTTTCTTTCATTCTCTAAAGTACTACTATTGATCGATTGAGTCATAAACTGCCATCATGAAAGAAAAATAATATCTTTCTACGCATATTCATATACGTATATAATTACACCAATAACCGTTGTTTCTAATATTATAAAGAACTATTAATTTTTTTCAAAAGTTCCATTATGAGCTAGTATTTTTATATTGAATGTAAAAGTTTCTATTGTGAATCTTTTCGTTAGAAAATCGCGTAAGAATCTTTAATTCGCCATTTTTGAAAGCAAAACGCGACAGAATTATGTGCACATTCGAAGACCAAAAACGTTGTAGCGCATGCATATATGTACGAGCATTGTTACAATCCCTGGAAGATCCTGCTCGAAATCGAGAATTTCTTGCGGTCTTCGAAGGTCCAACCGTGCGTAATACAGCGTAAAAATCGGCTTTATAAATTGCGCAAGCTTTCTTTCGTTTTCTCCATTCCCTCGTTTCTTCCCCATTTCGCTCCGCGACAGATCTTTGTGATCAAATATCTTCTGTCAGTATTTAAATTGGTACTTATCACGCATTTAATTGCCTCTATAAAACTTCTTTCCTTCTCTCGCACGATTTCCGGAGATAAGGCAGATAAGAAAAAGCCACCAGAAGAAACGAAACTTTTGTTTCTCAAGCGTACTGTACTTTGTTACAAACGTTTCAATTATGTTGATACAAAATTCTTGATCGTCTTTGACAAACCACTGAATTCTGAAACCACATTGCATTTTTTCATCCCTCCTTGTTTCTCTGGTTTTTGCGAACTAACTGAGAAAAAAACTGAACAGTTACGCCAGAGCTCTCGGTTCCATCCATTTTATTTTACGGTCTTCCCGGGAAAACTTATCAACGTGGATGATGGGAGTGAAGTGAAAAATTGCAGGTCAAAAAGAGAAATTGGCGGGTATTCCTCCTAACCGCATACCGTCTTCTGGTTAACTTCTTTTAACGTAAACCATCCGTACAAATAAGTAACCATTGCTGATTTAATTTCTCCTTTTCTTTATTGAAAATAATGAAAGACAAATCAAAGAAAAAAATAGTAGAATTTGAATAAAACGTATTTAATAATAGCGTCAAAAAAATCATAACATTAAAATATTTTATAAATTATATAGACATTATATAAATACTATTATACTTTTATAGACATAAATAAACATGACCGTAAATTTTTTATTATAGTATAATATTGTAAAAAATACCTCCGATGTTTAAAAAGTATTATTACAAAACTTTGCTTATAAATTTTATATAAAAATGTGTCTTTTATATTAGGCGAAAATCTTATTTATGTTATAATTAAATATTGTTTGTATATGTTAAAATACTTTACAAATAAACCTAGCACAGTATAATTCATATAAAGATATTAACTTATATTTTTTTTTTCAAATAGTAGATGTTTAAAAAATTCTTGATAATATGAAAAATATCGCTTTCGTAGAAATCCCCGAGAGACTAAATCTAAACAATTTATAAACCCTTAAGTTACTTGCAAGCGTGCAATAACTTGCAGTATAAAATCCACCCTACACACATATACTACCACTAAATCCGATGCCTTCTCTTCGGTCCCCTCAAGGTCACGCGAAATTCACAATTCCGGGCAGTAAAAGGCTCTTCCTGGGATCCCAGCGGTTCTCTTACATATATGTATGTCGTTATGGTAATTTCGATCCTCTCGACGACGTCCGCATGCGCGTCGAATTGTAGGACGACGCTCCATGTCGACTGCCTAGAATCTCCAGGCGACCCTTTCTTGCTTGCCAAGTAACGGCGTATAACAATGAATCGCGTATAACTACTACGACGCCATTGCCGCCACCACGGGATAATGTACAGAAGCGGTAGGAAACTGGTATAGAGTATGGCGGTGCTCCATTGTTGCACGAAATATGAAGCGTTTCTGCAAACGAGGAGAAAACGGTCTTCGAGTAAGTGGATTAAAGTTATGACGCCACTAGATTAAATATATAATATCTTCAATCGAATTGTGGGGTTATAACTTTGCAAAAATATGTGCAATATGTTCCTCTACGTGTATTTATAATAATAAGTGTATGTATATAATTTTCTCCTTCACACATTCTCATTCCACGATCGAACTATCCTCAAAGCTGCTAGACAAAGTTACGTCTAGCGGAAAAGAAAAAAGAATGGTCAAACTTACTTCATGAGTTTCCATAGAAGGACTTAGGTAGAATGTCTCAGGTACGTCGTCGGATCGATAGCGTATCGCAACGTCCGCGCGAAAGGAACGAAGTTATAAACGAAGCCGGTGTGGCTCGAATAAAAATCAGCAAGGGCTGGTAGAACTTCCAAAGGGTGGCAACTTGGCGGTTCTCCTGCCATTGCAGTGGAGGAAGTGAGAAACCAGGGATGAAAACTCGATCAGCGACGTCGGGGTTGTTGCACGTCGAGAAAGAGGGTGGGGCGAGGCAGGGGTGAAGGGCGCGGACGATGAGCTCGGTACGGGGGATACGGATGTCCACTGCCGAGATTTCTTTCTTCGCGATATACTAGAACGTAAGAGGAAAGGACCGTGGGTTGATTTCAAATGATCCTGGATTTCTCAGGGGTGAATAAAAAAAAGAAGCGAGCACGCCGGGAAAGTGAAATGAATTTCTTCGGCAAAACCTTTCTTTGTTTTTTCTGGCTATCTTTTTTCTCGTCCTCACCTTTCCGAACTTAAGTTGCTTTATAACTTGCTTTTTTGTTGTATATCTTAAAAAGAAAATACAATTCACGCATTATAATAAAGACAAAAAGGAGACATAGATCTATGAATTATTTAAAAAAAATCTCAAATATTGAAATATTGTAATAATAATAATAATTAATTAATAACAATTTTTAATCGCGTCTCATCGTTTTAAAATATTAACAGTATAACTTTGTTCAATAATTTCACACATAGTTAAATTCATTTATTTACTTCGGCGCCACGAAATAAACGTTCTATGTACAAACCAATTGTTCGTTAACTGCCAATAAATATCGAACCTTCCTAACAAACTTTTTCGTTCATTAAATTTGCCGATAAATGCATTCACAGGCTCGCTTGTTGCACGGAGTTGTTGCCTTAGCGAGCGGAGCGCGAGTTAGATTTCAAAGGCAACTCGTTTGGAACTTCGACGCCGAGCAAACGAGCCTTGGGAGAAGTACTTTTACATCGAATATGCCGCGTATAGCACATTGCACGCGGGTAACTCCTCTGCCATAGCCGAGGGATGTGAAAGGTTGCCGCCCTCGGACGGATACTTCAGAAACACGCGCTTTCGACAACTTCAAGAAAAGCGCAAGCCGCGGAAAAATATTCCTCACAGGAATGCCCCATCTGTGTATCATCCATGGACAAAGCCGATAAACCGCGGTATACGGCGGTGCACTTCATAGTAAATAAAGGGTTGGACATACCAAGTTTCGTAGGGGCGATTTTCATATGAAGTCTTCAAGGAACGACTTTATTTCGCAAATATTTCTTAGCGACATAAAACTGCATATTTCAAGTTTATTAAATATTTCCATCTTCAATAAAAGTGATCTTACATAAAAATGATTTAATCGATATTAAAGGAATCAATTGTATAATCAAAGGACATTTACGTACAATTAAATAGAAGATATTGATTGATGAATGAATTTTCGTAAAAAGAAACAAAATTTTTTTACAAGCGTTATATATTCCTGTTAAATGAGAATTTTCTATAGATAGCAGAGAGAATTTCCAGATTTGCTTAAGCAGGATAAAAGGACTGAGAGTGTCCAAAGTTATAAAATTTATTCTGAGATCATCGTTTGTACGCGAGCGTATCATAATTAAAGCGGATTAGCTAACGGCATTGTTATCTTCGAGACGAAGATTCTGTCGGTTTCACAAGTTCAGAATATTCTTCATTCGTAATGTCTTTATTTCCGACATTCTGCACATGTTTCCGAAGTTGGTAAAACGCATTAATTAACCCACTGGGATGGCTAAGAAATCATAAGGAATATACAAAGCTTATTTAAAAAGAATGGTTATAATTCTTGAACGAAATTACAAGAAATCAAAATGAATTCAATTCCTTCTTTCACAATTGTCTCTTCTTTCGATTTTTATTTTTCCTTGCTGTATGTATAATTTTACGTTATCTTAGTAATATTTCTATTAATTAAACGAAAAACGAAAGAAAACGAAAACGAAAGAAAACAAATATATATATATTAATATATATATATATATATATATATTAAATATAAATATATATATATATATAATATGCGCAAAGAAAAAACGAATAAAATTTAATAAAAATAAACGATTTTAAAATTTATAACTATTTTCAGCATTATATTATTTTACATAACAACACAAAAGAACAAAAATATGATAAATTTAATAACTTTATATAATATTATTAATTGTTTTAAAAGGGAAAATGTAAAATATTTTCCAAATATTCTCAACTGAGACTAATATCTACGATGCACGATTATTATTCAAAATTACTCTACTGAGCAGCTGCGAATTATTACATAATTAACAAACTGCCTAGATCAGATATTTCATGAACTATGTAAATGGTTATCAGCTCGAGTAATCCGCTTTCTTGATCATCTCCGGAGTTGATAGCGTTAAGTGTTAAAATAGCTGAGCTACTACCAAATTACGTGTACCAAATAGCCTCTGCTTAAGCCGAGTTTGAAGCTTCGCTTAAATTTTAAACATCGAGCGAAGTTGCTCTAAGTCAGGTTTACTGGACTTAGCCAGGGAATTTAGACCCTAATAATTAACACCGCCCTAAGGATCTAGTTTGACGCGCCTAAACATATCACGTCTAATACGAACATTTATCAAAAGTTAAGAGAATACGTCTATTTAAAATGAAATGAAAATGGACTGCAAATTATCTTTTGCATGTATATGCATATAGCATATGTATATGCGCGTGTGTCAGTGTACGCAAGAGAAAACAATATAAACTGTATAAAATTTAATACACATAATATCTGATTAACATAATTAATGAAGAAAATTTTGTTCAAATATTTATTCAAAATATTTATTCAAATTATCTTGAAATAATTATCGAAAATATTAAATCCTCTTTTTAACGCTATGATCGATATTTGTAATATAAAATGTGTAATAAATGATTAATTAATAAAGATTTCGAATTTTTATTTAAAAAATTAAAACCGTTGTATATTAACTAAAATCATTAATCGTTATTCTTCTTAAAGCAAATATGCAAATTATTAATAATTTTTATTCTTTTTATTAAATTTATGTTTTAATTAAGCTAACTTCAAAATAATAAAATTATTATTTATTGTATTATAACAAAGTAATATAATACACTATTTCAAAAATATTAAAATTTACTATATTTTATCAATTTTTTAAGAAAAATGATGAATTTAATCAATTGCTTAACATTATAATTCAACTATTGATCACAAGAAATCATATCATAAGAATCACGAAAAATTATGACTTCTTCTATTGAAAATGCTTGAAGTACGGCTAATAAAAATTCACAATCGAGGTTTTCTCGCGACATTTAGTTTCGATTGCGCTAAAAGCATTAACGGCGCCAAAGCGTGAATGCTTCTTCCTCTTTCTACTCCTTTTTTTGTGATCGCTGTTTTTCCAAACGTAATTGCTATCGCGTCGCGCCAGGAGTTGCTACGTTGCACACGATTTTTTTTTAACACGATGTCACGCATCAACGATATGAAACGCCTGCTCGTTCTTCAATTATTTGGAGCACGCGGAATTTTTCGGCCTCGCATAGTTTTGTCGTTCAATCGGATATCTGACATTAAAAGCATTTATGGGTCGTTGGAACCACCGAGCGGCCGATATCCGTTTTTTAAACCAGAGAAAAGTTTTTTCCCCTCTTTTTTTTTAATCTCTCCCTTTTCAGCTCCCGACAAACGTGTAAGCTCAACGGCATCAGAATGTTTTTGATAGAGATTTGTTTCAATTCAAAATAACGTCACATAACGAAGATCGATATTAAAATAATACATGCTTCAATGTTACATGTCTATAAAAAAATAGAAAAATTCAATTGATACTTGTTATGCATTAAACAAGGAAGAATATAATTTTCAATAAGTATAATAGTTTAATTTGATTTAACTGAGATTCAACTGTGTAAATTTGCTAATACTCATGTCTAAATCTCACTTCGATAGAAACATTTCACATACCACATCTGTAGCCAGAAAAAAACTTTGGCGTTAAATCGATACCGGAGGAAAACAGTTTTAATTAGAGTAACTTTTTCGTAACTCGATAGGAATGTTGCCTTTGTAAAAGTAAAACGCCCAAACAAGTACTTTTAAATTATATAACATATACATAACGATATAATTAATACAATGAGAAAGTACGTAAAAATAAGAGAGAGAATAAGAATTAGAAGCTTGCACAATATCGACGATGAGCTTTTAATTAATTATTTGTACATTTTATGTAAGCTATAAAATCTATTTCCTCTAAATTCTTTTCTTTTTTTAGAAAGATCTCTTTTTCTAAATTGGCCTGATCTATATATCACTCACCGAAGCTGGGAGCGGCGATTCTCGAAAACATAAGTACTTCCGCTGTGAAACGGCGATTTATGACATTTTAGTCAGGATCGCTCCGCGAAGCGTTGACAGGAAAGCAGAGCGCAGGAAGAATTACTGTCCGAAAGCCGAGGATCTTTGACCTAATGCACGCTTCATCGCTTACGAACTGGCGAGGTCCTCCTCCTTTTCCCCGTGAGATAATGGCCCCTGGCAAATTCGGATTTACACGCGGCGGTTCGCAAGCGATTGGAAGCGTTCCAACATAGCGCGTGCAACGTTTTATACCGCCGACATTTTTACCTTTATTTTCAGCAGCGATCCGCCTCGATATTTTTACCGTTGCAACTCCGCGCAGAGATTACGTAAACAGGCGCGTCCGCCTTCTCGCGACGTTGTTTCCGCGCGCGAAGAAGAGACGACGGAATGATTCGACCTCGCGATATATCGAAGTCTCCGCACTGTCGTTAATGCTTTCTGAATATCTGATTTCTCTTCGTAAAACTATACTAAGGCTATATTTCTTTGATAACTGTGGAATCGAATGCTTCTCTTTTTACTCAATGCTTTTTATTCCACTGCTTTATCTCACAATACAAAATAACAAGTTATCTTAAAGTATATCGGCTATATATGCTAAATATATGTAATTCTTTGAAAAATGTTTTTTACCAGTACAGTTATTATCATGTAAAATATTTTTGTATATAAATTATAAAATGTGACTATGTTAGAAACTAAAATATATTTAATAAAAAATTCATACGAATAAATTTAATTTTGAAAATCATGTCATCTTATAAACTTTTTATATAGAAAGACGATTTTTTTAAAAGATGATATTACTTTCTGAATTTCCGTATCTATTATTTTGACATTATTTCACGTAGTTTTATTACATCTGCTATTACATATATATATATCGTTTGACCAAATCGCTTATCATTTTGCTACGCAAAGATGATTGTCCTCAGGAAATAGACATTACTAGCGTTGCGAGTTTTCCAGCACGTCCCGGAAAATGACGGAGGCGAGGAGCCTCAAGCGACCCTAGAGTCGAACTCAAAGCGGAACTCGGAAAATGACAAGGAGACGAGACCGAGAAAGGAAACGCGTATCGCGCCCGGTCGCGCAAGTGTTCTCATCAGTATGCAAAACGTAGAACTCGCTCTCACGGGAAAGGAGGGGGATGTGCGCGTGGTTCTCTTGTGTTCTCCATTTGCCCGACTGGGGAACCATACACCGACGACTCTGTTCAGCCGCTGAAACCGTCCTGGCTGCTCCACCCGCCGCGACAGCAAACTCTTCGCCTCGCTTTGCGTCTCTTTGTGCGCGGGTCGCATCATAGATGCGAGAGCGACGGGCATTATCGTACGCCGAGCACGCGTGTCCGTCGTGCGTCGTGTCGTGCGTGCTCGCGCACGTCGTCGCCTCGCACGTAGCATAATTATCCACGGCGCGCCGCTCTTCTCCTATCGTATTACCTCTCTTTGTTCTTCTCTCTCTCTCTCTCTCTCTCTCTCTCTCTTTCCTCCTTCATTTTGTTTTTTTCTTTCACGTCTTCTCGTGGACATCCTCCTTTTGCCATCTCAAAAACTTCCTCGTGCCTCGGTACTTTCCGAGACTTCGCGCCGGCGATTTTATCTCGCTTCCTCGCAAATGTCCCGTCCCGGATCTCTGCAATTTGTTTCTTGCGAGTTGCTTGCTTTGTAAGTTCTGCTCCGGGACCTAATTGAATTACGAACATTTCACCGGCGCACCAGATAAATGGGCCGCATACAGGAGGCAAAATTTAAATCGTCCCACAATTGAATTTTTATGTAGAAATCCGGTTTGCGCTTTTCTATCCTATTTTCTCAATTTGATTACTTTGCGGTCTGCGCGCATTTCTACCGCGGCTGTCCACCGAGTAAGATTTC